AAAGATTAACAACGACACGGAAACGGGGGAAATAGGAGAATAATCAAATAACCAGTACCACCATGCGGAGAATAAACAACCGCACGAGAAACACAGATCGTTCTGTGTGCGCGGTTCGGGCGTCCACCTGCTGCATCACCAGCAGGGATAGAAAACAACACTCCAGGAGTCACTGCTGTTGCTGGTGCCACCGCTACCAGCATGTTGCGTTAAGAAAACAATCGCGCGGAAACTACTGGCCAAACATTGCGCAAACAGGTGCTGTTGTCAACAACAACAACACCAGCTGATGGCGCCAAGACAAAACGTCGAACATGGTGCAAATAACAACAACAACAACAACAACAAAAAGAACATGCGTCTTAAAGCACCTCGCTGCTCTTTCTGGTAGGTGTGCAGGATCTCTAGGAAGGCCTTGTACGTCTGCGGCTCGTGGCTGAAGCGCTTCTTGATCGTGGTGACGTACGTGATGGCGTGGTCGAACTCCGCCGGCTGGTGTTGGCAAACCGTCGTGAGGGGGCGCACAAAAAAAACACATCAAGAAGGACCGAAAACACACAAACACACACAAGCAGATTAAAAATAATATTCGGAGTGAAACGTCAACAAAAAAAACAGGCCACCACACACGGTCGATGCTAAAACAATGAAGCACACATACACACACAAACAAGAAACCGTAAGATGCGGCGAGTTGGGCATGGTCATAACATAACCTATAGGCGAGAAGGAGCGAAAAAAAACATGACACACACACGGTCGATGCTAAAACAAAGAAGCACACACACACACACACTCACACGCACGCACTCACACGCACACTCACACGCACGCACAAGAAACCGTAAGATGCGGCGAGTTGGGCATGGTCATAACATAACCTACAGGCGAGAAGGAGCGAAAACAAAACAACACAAAAAAAAAACATGACACACACACACGCAGAAACACACGGCTAAAAAAATGCACACATTACACGAACCACATACGAGACAAAGAAGAACGCCTGCACGTATTAACTACCTTGCGAAACAGAGTATCACGACTACCAGAAGGGCATCGATATCCATCCGGTACGCCTCAAACGTAAAAAACGACGTAGACTGCTTCATGGGACGGAACTTCTATGGGCGACGCGCTAATACGGATCACCAGATATTTGTTGCACAACCATCGTGGTATCCAACGAAATAACTCGAGCCTCTCCACGACCATCATCACTGGAAAAAAGAAACAACAACAACGACAAAAAGAGGCGCTAACGAAAGTCTTTGTGAAAAAACAAACGCAAAACTTCTCCCGCCGGCGCCACCCCGCTCTCCCCCGCGGTGAAAATTAAAGAAAAACAAAAACATGAATACGATTCATGTTTTGACAAAAACAAGCGTAACATCGCGGCGGCCCCCGTCTCTCCCACACCCACAAAAATACTCACAGGCTCGTTCGCTCGCTGGGGCATCCCAAACCCGCTCTCGTGCCCCCCCCCTCCCCCCCCTCCGCCGCCGCCGCCCCCGTTAGCGTTCGGCCCGGGGGGAACCACCCCGACCGCGCCTCCGTGCCCGCCGCCGCCGCCTCCCATCGGCATGTTGCCGCCTCCCGCCATCACCGAGGCCCCTCC